TTTCAGATAGTACGCAGATAGCATTTGCTGTTTTAACTACATATTTCTTTTGTTAATTTCCCTTTCTGATATAAAAATGCAACTGAGTCTTTTCATGTATCTATTCTCATGTATGTGTTCAGCTAGCATCTCAGACCCAATTTTCATAAATATTGTCTGTTTAAAGAAAAATGTTAAGTAAATAAGAAAGGCTGGCATCTGAGCATGACAAAAGTCCTGGTGGAAGTTGACAAATGACTGCAGTCTTGTGCCCAAGGGTCTCTGAGGCTTTCCCTCCCTGAGAGGCAGTGGTTTCAGGGCCCCAGATGCCCAGGAATGACAATACACAGACTGTACCATATTTTCCACCTCATCCTCATCATCACCAAGATGGACTGTCATGTGGAGTACAAGGAGAAGTTGGGATAAGTGGGCGGTTGCTCTTGGCCACAGGCCCCATGAGACCTCAGAGGACACAGAAATTGTCCATACATGTGATCCCTGAGGTGATTCAGGCCAGATCAGGCAGGGGCACAGGAATGACTGAGATTGAAGGCTGAGGTAGCCACGTCTGGGCAGAGATGGCTCAGGCTGGATTAAGGTGTCCTAGGGGCCTCAGCAGCTGTATCTTCCAAGGAGCCTATGGAGGGGGCTGCCTGGGCCCCCCAGGTCCCCTGAACAGGCTATTCCCCCTGTTTTGCCCAAGGGGGAGCAGCCTGTCTACAGCCTGAATGTCTCTGTCTTCCAAGAGGCTGGGCATGAATTTACAGCCCAGCCCCAAGTGAGAGTTATGAGTCTGCCTCAAGCCTGCCTGGCAGAGACTGGCCGCCTGTCAGCCCCTCATTGTCACCGATTGATGAGGCTGCTTCCTTCTAGTAAAAAACCCCTTCCATGGCAAGCAGCAGAGGAAAAGCCTCCCAGGCCAAGGGTCAGCTCATCACCCCCATACCTGTCATGATCTGAACCCCTCTTCTACCCTCACAGTCCACACCTCTCTATGATCCCCCCCAGCTCCTCACAGCTCCAAACAGGAAGTGTACCCAAGGGGCCTGGATCCCTAGCCAGAGCTCAGCGCTCCCAGGCCTGCCGATTGCTCACCCTTTCCCATTGGCCTTCAGAACAATCAATCCCAGGACAAAGCCAAATCTCAGAGCCAGTTTGAATCTCTGAGGTAATCCAGAACATACACAGATATTTTGCAGATAAGGAACCAGAAGTCCATAAAGAAGCCTTGCCCAAAATCACACAGCAGCACAGTGGTATGGCTGAGACATAAACGCCAAGACCTCCGGGCCAGTCATTTCAGTGCCTGGTCATAGCCAATTGTCATTCAGCCATGGGAATAATTTTCATCTCCGAGTGCAGGCCCCTTTCCAGGGAATGGATGGACCTGGATTTGAAATCCCTGCTCCACCACTTCGTGTCTAAAAGTTACAACCTCTCTGCCTGTTTCCTCTCCCCAAAATCGGGCCACAAAAATTACCCTAACCTCCTGTGGTTGTCATGACGCTTCAGTGATATAATGCAGGTAAAGTCCTAGGACAGAGCTGGGCCCCTGGCAGGTGCTCTCTGCATAGTGAAGATCATCCTTCTTCATCATCCTTATGTCTCAAGGGGACCCAATGCCTGATTTGTTTGGGGGTAGGGGACAATTCAGGGCAAATGCAGCAGGAGGAACAAGGAAAGGATGTGTGTAGGGCTGCAGGGCAAGAATAAGGCCACTTCCTGCTGGAGGAAACACTGGAAGACTCACATAAGCAGAAGGTGGCTTGCAGTGGAAGATTCAGAGCTCCATCTCCCTTGCTCTGAGGACCCTTAGGGGCTTCCTGAAGACTGCTGGGCTTAGGGAAAGCATCCTACCCTGAAAGCCTATCCCAGTCCAAACTTATACCATGGATGACTTGAGGATAAGTCCCTCGCCTCTCTGGGCATCTGCCAAAACAGGACAAGAGAGGACCAGACAACCATCCCTTAGAGATGTCTTCCAGTTCAGACCCTTTTGCAATCCCACCCATACCCATTCCCAGCAGTACCCAAATCTTGCCACTGGGGGGCAGCAAGGAACTGAGGTGGAGTCCCCCTCCTTCCAGATGCTGAGGCTGGGGCTGCTACTGGGGCTGCTGCTGGGGCTGCTGCTGGGGCTGCTGCTGGGACAATCCCTCCCCCAACACTGGGTGTTCTTTGTTCCCCCACACGCTCAGTTGGCTCTCCAAGGAACCAGAGATGGATAAACACCCATATCCCGATGTTTGATCCTTCCCATAGTCCTGCAGAGCAGCCAGCATTCTCTCCACTTTTCAGATGGGGAAACTGAGGCCCAGAGAAGGGAGAACTTGTTCATGGCCACACACCAGAAATAGCAGAGGCAAGTCTCCAGCCCTCGTTCCCAGCCCCAGTCCCATAGCAGAGGCTGTGTGAAAGGAAGATTGGAGTCAGATAGATTTGGGCTGGAACCCTGGTGCCCCACCCCTGGCTGTGTATCGTTGGGCACCCACCCTTCTGACTGTCAGCTTATATAAGTGCCTGGCACATGGCAAGTGCTGAACAAATGAAACCACCGCTTTTTTTTTCCAGTAGATTTTTACGGTCCACAAGAACAGATACTTGTCTATCTTACTCACCTTGGCATCCCCAGAGCCTGGAAGCCCTCTCCCTCCTGAGCCCTGCCTGGAACTCAGTGTAAGGGTCTCCCTCCTCGAGCCCTTTCCACCATCCCAGGTCAACTCTTTCATCTGTCTCCTCCCCCTGGCAGCCCTGCCTGGTGCCCACACACACCCAGGCCCTGGGGCAGGGGTTCCTTCTCACCCAGCCCCCCTTTCTCCCATCTCTCAGCTGCCTTGTCTCTGTCCCTGCCACTTTCTCAGTCCCTCTCTCCTTCTGAGCCCTCACTCTACACAACATGCTGTGTTTACAACAATGACAGTTCTTTATTTCTCTTTTGTTTCCCTTTCTGCCCTAAAGGGAAACATGCTTTCACACTCCTAGGGAAAAAATGAAGATCCAGAAGAGAAGAGCAAACAAAGGACCGTGAGAATGGGGGTGCTCCCAGCCACACCACCCACAGGCCACCCCACTCACACAGTCCTCTTCTTGTCAGGGCCTCCAAGGACAGCTCTGTTATTTGAAGAGTAATTAAACATCAATCTTTATTCTAGAGGATAAACAGGGCAGAGGGACACAAGAGCGAGAGGGGGAATGAAGGAAAGGAGAAAAGAAAGCCAGAGGTAAGCAGAGAGATTTGGAGGGAGAGGAGCCAGATGGAAGACCATGGACAGAGAGAGAGGGGAGAGGAGAAGCCAGAACAGAACTCTGCCTGCAGGGACCTTGGAGATGCCGCTGCTGACCCCGACCAGGAATATAGGAACACGTGCCCTCCAACCAGCTCCCCTGACCCCAACCACACCAAGGACATGGATCTGGAGAGCCGGGTGGCAGGAACTACTACTCCAGTCCACCCGTCCTTAGGCAGCCCCTCAGGTGGGCATCTCTGAGTGTTGGGTCTGGCTTATCTTGGTGGGCAGGGCCGTGTGCACCCCATCTAGAGATAGGACCCTAGTCTGGAAGCTGGGAGCCAGCCAGCAGCAACCCTAACCCCAGGGCTAGGAATCACATCCCAGCTCTTTCCTGAGCACAGAAACTCTCCTGGCAAGGGGGAAAGTGGGGGAATTCACTTCGTTTGTCTACATTATTCTCCAGGGCACTGGGCAGTGTGAGTGAGCCTGGGTGGACATGGGCATTCGCGTGAGATAAGGGGATGTCTTGGGGTAAAGGGACATGCATGCGTGGTAGTAACAAGTGTGTGGAGTGTATGTTGTGGTGTCTGTAAGTGTGTGTTGTGCCTGTATTTCCCTGTGAGAGTATCAAGCTGGTGTCTGAGTGTCTGGTATCTTGGGGTGGGGTCTCTGCCTATGTATGTGCGTGCATACACAAGTGAGCATGTGTAGTAAGGAGTGTCTGGCTTGTCTCTGTGTATATATGGGTAAGGGACATGTGTTTGTGCACAACCCCTACCTATGTGCCTGTCTGTGGTGCATTAGCATTTCCCTGAAGGCAGGTCCCCACCTTTGCTCCTGGCCTAAGGCCACCATCCCCCCAGCTCCTGTGGTCCAGAGTGACAACCGGGCCTCAGTGTCTCTCCAGCAAAAACAGAGTGACAGAGACCAGCCCCTGAGCCAGCAGCAAGGAGGGTCGTGTGACTATAGTTTTATCATCCAGCCCTGGCAGGGGTGACCCATGGAGTGAATCCCCTGGAAAGAAAGGAGATAGTGCTGGTGGGCACCCTGCCATACCGTAAGTCTGATCCTGCTCTCACGCAGAGTCCCGACCCTGCTCACACACTGAGCCCCAACTCTGCTCACGTACTGCATGAGGTCCTTTATTTAGAGACAGGTATTAATATGTCGTATGGCTAAAGTTATTTTCCTAGATCTGCACCTCAGTTTCTTCATTTTTCCACTGGCAGGTCTTGGGAGGTGTTGAGCATTAAATCAGAAACCCTTAATTCAATGGTGATGCCCTCTATCTCCGACCTAGCAACACAGAAGAGCATCAGCTGCTGCCACCGGCCAGCCCCCACCCCCACCCCCACCCAAAGCTTCCAGACCAAGCATTACTGATTTTTGCAGCCTTCGTAATAAATGGCATTGTCAGCAAAATGACATCTTTCTAATCTGCTGCCAAACAGATGGGTCCCTAAGTTTACTCGCTTACTGCCTATCAAGCCCGCCCAGCCCAGTCTTTTTGAGGAGTGTGGGGCATAAGACAGACACAATACCCCAGAGAGGGGCTCTTGTCATGCCTCCCAGTATCCCCACCCCTCATTCTGGGCAGGGCCCAAAAGAAGCAGTCATGAACATTTGCAAAATGAAGGAATAAATCAGTAAAAATATTTAATACCTTCTGTGTGCTAAACAGAGCAGGCACCAGCTCTGCTACTCAAAACCATGGTAAATTGATCAATTTGGTATAGAAAATATCATCTGTGGGGAGGACTGGGTGAGTACAGCACAGCAGGAGGGGAATTAGTCATGAATATCAATGACCAGTGGGCAGAGGTGGGGTGAGTGTTTGACACCCATGGTGAAAGCAGGTGTGCAGGGCTTGTGTACCGTGACCTGCTGGACATCATGGGAACCTGGGCCAGGCTGAGGTGTGTGGTGTATTGGGTAGGCAAAGCGCTTGGCCATGCTGTAGATGGGGCTGCGGTTCTGGTAGACAGATGGCTCAGGTCGGGTATACATGGCTGGCCCAGGACCTCCTGCCACGTTCTTCTTGTAGAACCAGTTCTTGTCTGTGGAAGCCAAACTATAACAAGGAGCAGCTCGGCCGATGGGGATGTTTGGCCCCAGCAAACCTGGCAGATAGTAGCAGTTGGGGGCCGGATTGGGGTCCATCACTCTGTATGGACACCGGTAGCCAAAAGTGTACTGTGGAGCCCTGCGTTCCCCGGGAGGGTGGGTCTTCTCCAAGCAGTAGTGGCAGGAGGCTGGGGTGGAGCTCAGGCCTGAAAGTGGGTGAAAGCGGGGAGCTGAGGCCTTGATCAACCTGACGTGGCTTCACAGGAGTCTCCTTAGCTTTGGGCAGGGACACATCCAACCCTGCACAGGGCTATGGGCATGAGAGGGTCTTAGGCCATCCTGACATCAGAATGGGACACTATTGTCATAGTATAAAAACCACAAGTGTCATCAGAATATCATCCTTGGGCTATTAGCATTCTGACTTTATCCTTGCGACAGCACCAAGAAAGTATCCTAAAATTACCACAGTCCATGAGCTCATTCTGGTTCATGGCAATACTGCTGCCCCAATATGAACCCCAATTGAAACAATCACCCTGCGACATATATGCATAACATTGGCTTCAAGACGTTAAGTACTGTGACACAGACATGGTGACATTGGCATCTTGATGTGACATTGCAGGAAGATGCCAGCATCCACAGTCACACCTGGAGAGGGAAGTCATGACCTTTTGTCCTGCAAAGATCCTAAGGCTATAGATCGCCATCCTTCAACCTCCCGAACCCCGCCCCCTATCCCATCTTACACAGGTTAGAGATGCGTTCCTCCATGGGCACCTGCGGGCAGCTGGACATTCCAAACCGAGTTATTTTAGGATCGAAGAAATAACAAGGCCCAGGGCTGCATATGTCTGCGATCCCTGCAGGGCAGCCAAGGAGCTCAGTTAGCACCAGAGGCTGCCCCAGGGTGAGCCTGGACTGTGCCCAGGCAAGATCTTCCTCCCCAAGAGAAGAGCTAAGGGTTTCGTTTCGATAACTTGGGCTCTTGAGTGTTTTTGGAACTTTGCTTTCCTCATCTGTAACAATGTAGCGTTTAATCATTCTCAAGACCTTGCTCAGAGGGACAGATGAACTAGCAGATGCAGAGCAGCTTGGTTCGCAGATCAGGGATCAGTGCCAAGGGTCATAATAGGCAGAGTAGCTATTGTTAGGATTAGGCAGGGGCCCAGTCTCAGCCAGGGGGTACCCCTGCTGAAATGGGTGTGTCACCCCAGGGAGGGGTCTAGCAATCACCCTAGATCTCAGACCCCACATACATACCCTTGCCCAGCCTCCCCTCTCTCTGGCCTTGGCTGGCAGCCCCAGCTCTTCTGTGGCTCTCTGTTCCCCCACTTCCCAGGTGGTTCTAAGCCACCTGGGAAGTGGGGGCGGGGGGCTGCCATCCCCACCACTTTTTCTCCATTCTCCAGCTATTCCTGCTCGGCTGCTGTGGCAAGTGAAGCCACAGTAGCCAGAACTGAAGGGCCCCAACCAATGACCAGACAGAAGAAAACCCTGCTCTGCCAGCTGAACAGTGACAGCATTCCTTTCAAGCTCCTGCAGGAGGTCCAGTTGGGAGATACCCACAGAGTCACCTCTGCGGTGGGGTGGATCACTGGGCATCTCTGCTGACTTCCTTCTGGACCCAGCAGATCACCTTGTGGTCCAGCTCAGTGTAGGCCTGGGCTCCCAGGGGCCTGTGGCCACAGACAATCACCACTTTCCTCTCACTGCCACCCCCAAACATCCCCCCAAGCGGGTGATGGGCATGGGGGCACTCACGCTTCTCCGCGTGCCGCGTGTGCAGGCTGCAGGCTGGCTCCCGGAACATGGAGCTGTCATGGCCCACGTGGCCTATGCAGGACGGCCGCAGGTATTTGGCAGGCCCTGGACCTGTGAGGACGGACCACCAGGTCAGAGGCAGGAAGCCCCAAATACAGTGCACCGTGATAACATTTGGGTCTTCACTCCCTTGATGTCACATTGCCACAAATCCCACCATTGAGCTGCTTCCTGGAGTGAGAGTGTTCCCAGATAAAATGTAATTTCTCTCGGGCAGGCAATGAATAGTAAGAAAGGTAATAATTACAATTAAATGAGAACTTATTCTGTGCCAAGTACTACTCTAAGCATTTTATATTAATTATTTCAGTTAAGTCTCCCAACAACTCTGTAAGACAGAGGCTCTCACTTTCCCCATTTTACAAATGAGAAAATTGAGGCTTAGAAATGTCAATTTGCCCAAAGTCACACAAGCTAGTGATGTGAAAATTCTAAGACAATCAACTAATAGAGCCCCAACATTTAATCACATACTAAACCACCTCCACACAGAGAAATAATCAGTCATTAACAGTGTAGTAAAAATTAGCATTTTTTTAAGATATTACTTATTTATTTTTAGAGGGGAAAGGAAAGAGAAATAGGGAGAGAAACAGTAATGTGAGAGAGAAACATCATTTGGTTACCTCCCATACACCTTGACTGGGGACCAAACTCAAAACCCAGGCATGTGCCCTGACTGGGCATCGAACCGGCAACTTTTTGCTTTGCCAGAAGACACCCAACCAATTTGAGCCACACCAGTGAGAGATAAAAATTAGTATTTCTGCTTTCATTTGAGAGTAAAAGTCAAGGGAAGTGAAGAAAGCTAAAGCTGGGCTGAAGGCTCCAATAAATCCCTAGCCTTTTTCCAAAGCTGGATTCTCTTCATGCCTTGTGCTGCCTTTCTCTCCTACACCTGTGCCTTCCCCCTAAAATTCCCAGCTGCTAATCACTGCTGGCAAGGTTCAGCTTGGAGACACAGATCTTCTGTGGGCTCCGAGGAGAGACTGTAGGAGGCAGCGCTAGAAGGCTGAGACACCTTCAGCAGCCCTGAAGAGAGGAATGGGCCCAAGCTCAGGACAAAGGGGCCTGCTCTCACCTTTGAGCATCGTCATGATCACAGGGGTCTGCTTTACCACCTGCCATGAGGGGACCTGCACCTTCTTCTCCAGGTGCTGCCCAGAGAACGCAGAGTTCTTGGACCTCTTGGGCAGTTTCATGGCTAGGACCAAGGAAGGGGCAATAGCAGCTACTGAGACATCTAAGCCGCAGGCAAGGAGCTGGGCTTGTGTGGGGCCCATTCTGGGTGCCCCTACCCAAGTCCCTGGGTCCACAGTCTCCCCCACTTCAGAGATGGTTTGGAGGCTGAGAAGGAAGATAATACTTCAGCTTGAGCTGCTGAGACCATCGAGAGTGCAGCTGCCACAGGGCTCAGCCGGCAGGAGCTGGAGATGACATCACTACAGAACTTAGGCTATGAGGCCCAGTGTTTATTTCTGTCCGTTGCCATGGTGTCTGAGCCGTGGTGTAGGGATTTGACGCTGGCAGCTCTGTTGAGGAACCCTGAAAACTTGGCCCCACTGCCCCTTACTCCCAACCAGGTTACATAGCCTGAAGTGTCTCCAGGACCCTGGGTCATTGAAGGAAGAGGGAGAGGTGTGGGGACTGGGCCAGCTCTTTACCCCTGGTGGGTGCCCTAAGATTAGGGAAAGAAATAGAAAGAATGGGTCGTCATGGGTCAAGGGTTCCTGCAGCCCACAAAGTCCCCTAGGGTGGCCCTTTACCCCCTGCCCCTCCCACCAAACCCCTCAGGTTCCCACCTATGCCCTCCTTTCTATCAAAATCTGTTTTCAGCCCTGGCTGGTGTGGCTCAGTGGATTGAGTGTTGGCCTGTGAATCGGAGTCTGTTTTGCCTTGGGAAAGGATCAAGCCAATTATTTTACACTAAGGTATAGCTATCTGATAGCTTCCTAGACTCTAAACCTAAGGCCAGTATCTGTTGAAATCCATGTCTAGCTCAAGAAATACTTGCCTGCTGCTGGCATTTCAGGCAGGAAATGAAAAACAAATAAAGGAGGATGGAGGGGTGGTGATGAGGCCTTAAGAAACCACTTCCTGTGCCTGTGGTCAGAAGCAACGTAGGGTGGTGGGGTGTGAAAGGAAACACTGAGTGGAGGGAAGATACCCAGCTACCATATGGTTGATGTATGAGCCCCAGGGCTGAGGAAATGCTGGAGACCTCTTCACCACTAAATGCCCAAGAGTTTTGGGGGCCCAGGGGCCTGCTTGCACCCACCAGCTCATAGCTCAGATGGGATTTGATAGAAACCAAGAGAGAAGGGTTTCCATCTTGGGAACAGATGACAGCTGGCTTTAGAGAAGCTGTCCATCACAGCCCCATTATATAGATAAGGAAACTGAGGCCCAAAAAAGAGGACTTGCCCAAAGTCTCCCTCACATCAATAGCAGAGACAGAACCAGTACAAAACTGCACAACTCTCTTTGGATCATAGCCTCTCATCTAATGGAAACTAAAATATGCTGTGCACTCATTCCCACCAGAAAGCACAGTAAGGAGCCGGACCAGCCATGCATGCTCAGAACAGCGGCAGGGGTCCACCTCAACAGCAGCAGATCTGCCTGCGCCCCTCGCATCACTCACAGAGGAGCCAAACCTCTGATTTCTGGAGAGGCGAGGCTTGGCAAGGCAGGAATTGGCCCAGCCTCCATTGGCCTGGGGCCACGGGCAGTGCCGCCTCCACACCCCTATCCTTGTCAACTTTTCCTGGAGGAAGCTATGGGCCCGCTGAGCCGGAGCCCTGATGGTCCCCTTGTGCCAATAAGAGCCAGATGTGGGGCCAGGACCTCCACTCTCTTGGTCTGGGGGCAGTTTCCTGGTATTTCAGGCCCAGGGAGCCTCCCTGACGCCTCTCTCTGCCTGTACTACTCTTATCTGTCCCCTTGTGCACAGCTCTCTCGGAAAAACTGAGCTACTCTACACCCCTGCTTCTGCTCCAAATGCTCCCCTCCCTCCAGCATTCACAGAGACCCAGCTCACCCTGAAGACGGCTATCAGTCCTTTCCAAAGCTTCTGCCTGTCACCCACTGCCCTGTCCCTCAGAGTCCAAGGTAGAGAGGGCCCCTCGTCTCCTCAGTACTACTCAGTACTACTCAGTACTACTCAGGCAGTGTCTTCTCCCTGTCAAAAGCACTGCTCCTCCCAGGGTTCTGGCATCCAGAGTACCCCTAATCATCTCCTCAGAGCTGCCATCTGTCCTGGCTCGGACACCTGGTGGGCCTGGCTCGTGGTCTTCTCCCCCACCTCCCCAACTCCTATTATTATCCTGGTGGCTTAGGTCTCCCCAGGGCTCTCCCACCAATCCTTTGGCCTCCCAGTTGCCAAACCTCTTCATCTCCAAATTCCTCCTCTCCACTCTCCCTCAGCCACTCTTCCCCAGCACATCCAGACCTTCTCCCTGCCTCCACGGCACTGACCATCTGCCTCCCTTTGGAACACCAGCCCACCATTCCACCTCACTCACCCTAGTACTCAAGCACAAATTGCCTGCTATCAGTGAGACCCTGTCCCTGACCCTGCACTTTATCCCCAACCTTCAGTGCCCTCCTGCTTTCATTGTCCTCCTTGCCAGCTTTTTTCCTGATAAATAAGCAGGACTGCCTTGTCCACCTGCATCAGGCAGCTAAAAGCTCATTGCCTTTAAACCCTGGACTTGCCTTTGTGCTACTCAACTGCCCATCTCCACTCTAGCAGGCGCGTTGTCTCCATCTCCAGAGGTTATTTCAAGCATGGCTCATTCCCCTCGTCATGCCTGGCCCTTCCTCCAGCTCCTGTTCTACCTCCTCCTCAGCTGAGAAAAGAGAGGCGCCTCCCTGCCACACCATCAGAACCACCGGTGGCTTCCACCATCACCTGCCCCCACTTCCCTCTGGGGCTTGGCTGGACCCACCCGCTAGGATTTCACCCATCTTTTCTGCTTCCTGAAGAACATTTTGCTCTCCGTAGCCCATCTCTGCTTTCGCCCCTCATCTAGCCCCTTACTAGCTCATTCTACATACCCTACATTCTTCCATCTATTACAGGCCAACTCCCTTGCCCCACATACCTCTTCGTCACAGGCTGGATCCCTCTCCTCCAGACTACAGACAAACTTCCCCAAAGTGGCATTTCCTTGTTGTTCATTCTTGCCTGCCTTTCACACTTCAACTCTCTGTATGCCCATCATTCCACCTCAACTGTGACGTGCGTGTGAAAGCTGCAACCAATGGATACTTTCACCTGTGCCCAGCTGGCCTCTCAGCAGCCCAGGACCAAACTGGCTGACCCCTCCCTCTTCCTTGCAGCACCTCCTCCTAGTTCCAAGACACTTTGGTCTTCCTCCCAAGCCCCCACTGCGCCTTCACAAGCTTTCTTCCTGGCTCTTCTTCCTCAATCTGACCTTTCAATGGTGGCACATGCTTATTAATTGCAAAGGGAAAAACAGCAACTTTACTGGGAAAATCCTGGTAGTCACCACCTCCATCAAGTGACCTAAGTTCTCAGCATTCACAATGAGAGAGAGAAGTGTTGTGTGCCTCCAGAGAGGCTGCTCTGAGAAGGACAGGGCATCTCCTCTGGGCTGTTCCCACCAAAGATGCATAGTCTGAATCCAATTGTGAAGAAACCAGATAAACTCAAATCAAGATCCACCTTACAAAATAACATTTCCATGGGGTGGGGAGCAACTCGGGGGTGGAGAGATTGAGCAAAAAAGAAAAAGAAAGCCCTGGTTGCTGTGGTTCAGTGGACTGAGTGCTGGCCTATGAACCAAAGGGCCGCCAGTTCCATTCCCAGTGCAGGGCACATGCCTGGGTTGTGAGCCAGGTCCCCAGTAGGGGGTGCGCAAGAAGCAACCACACATTGATGTTTCTCTCCCTCTCTCCCTTCCTTCCCCTCTGTCTAAAAATAAATAAATAAATAACAATTTTTGGAAAAAAGAGAGAGAGAGAAGAACTCACAGACATGGGTGACAGTGTGGTGATTGCCAGGGGAGGTGGTGGGGAGGGGTAGAGGAGGGTATAGGGGGATAAACGGTGATGGACAGAGACTTGACTTGCGGTGGTGAATACACAATACAGTGTACAGATGATGTGTTGTGGAGTTCTGCGCCTGAAAGCTGTATAATTTTGTTAACCAGTGTTACCCCAATAAATTCAATAAAAAGGAAAAATACATAAACAGAAAAAAAAGTAACATTTCTGAAATGTAATGAAAGACAAAGAAACACCGAAAAACTTTTCCAGATTAATAGAAACCCCAGAGAAAGAAGGTCCTTGTTCTTAGAAAATGCACACTGAAATATTTAAGGATAAAGGAACATAATGTCTGCAACTTACTCTCAAATAGTTCAGGAAAACACATGTATGTACATAGAAAAGAATTTAAACTATGGTGAAATATTAACATTTGGGAAATCTAAGCGAAGAGTATGTGAGAAATATTTATACCGGTCTTGTTAGTTTTCTGTAAGTCTGAAATTATGTCCAAGAACAAGTTAAGAGAAAAAAATGTTGATGTGTCAGAATTTGGTCCTGGGCCTTCCTTGTATCCACCACCCTCCTTTTGACTAGGTAGTCTCATCTTCTCTTGTTGCTTCAATCCCGTTATCTGCACCCCAACAATTCCTGGTTATATGCCTCTGACAGAGACCTTTTTAGGAGTTTTAGACCCACATATTTGACAGCCTGCACAGTCTCACCTGGGTTTCTCACAAACATTTCAAAATCAACATATCCAAAGCTTTTCTCATGAGATGCCCCTGAGCACGTTTATCTCAGTAAATGATGTCACCATCCATCCAAGTGCCCAAGCTAGAAATTGAGCTTGTTGTAGGCATCTCACTTGTCCTTAATCCCCACATTCAACCATCACTAAGTGACACTGGGGAGCTTGTGAGCTCCTAGAGGCAGGGTTTCTGTCATTTACTCCTGTGTCCCTAGCCCTCAGCATACAGTAAGTGCTTGAGAAATATTGTTGAATGAGTGAATGAAAGAATGAATGAATGAGTAGATCCATTGCTTGATCAAGGAAACATCACTCCTCCTCAAGGGAGTGGAGTCCTACTTTCTGAGTCCCAGACACATTTTCATTCTGGCTCACAGAACTACCATTTACAGTTGTGCAGGTTTGTATTAGTTATCTATTGCTGCATAACAACTGTCCTCAAAACCTAAGCCATTTCTGTGGGTCAGGAGTTTAGGAGTGTCTTACCAGGTCTCTCAGGAAGTGGTAGTCCAGATGTCACAAGTAGGGGCTGCAGTCATCTGAAAGTTTGGATCTGGCAGATCCATTTTCAAGATGGCACACTCATGTGAACGGTGACTTAATGCTGGCTGTTGGTAAGAGAACTCAGTCCTCTCCACCTGGGTCCTCCACAGGCTGTTTAACTCTTCTTGAGTCACGGTGCAGGGCTTCCCCTGGAGCAATCAATCAGAAGAGAGCAGGGCAGAAGCTTCCATGTCTTTCATGATCTCTCCTAAGAAGTCATACTCCATCATTTCTGCAATTCCCTGTTGACTATGCAGGTCAGCCCTATTCAGTGTGGAAGGTGGCTGCACAAAGCCATGAATGCCAGAAGGTGAGGGCCATCTTGGAGGCCAGCTACCACAGGTTTTTTACAGTACAAGGACACCTACCCAATGGGGTAGAAATTCAAGCTCATTCTTGTGTAGAGTGGCATAACCACTACTCCCCACACAGGCTGAAGACAGCCCTGTCTTCTGGCTCCAGTTGGCTCTTGGTTGTCAGTCTTGCCTCTCCTTCAAGGGACTCCCAGGAGTCATGCTGGGAGCAGGACCCTGGCATTAATACTTCCCATCAACATAAGCACCAGGCACTGCCCTTCACAGCTTATGAAGTCCTAGCACCTCTGTTGGAGGGCATCATCCAAGCACCACAGTGGTTCTACAATTTACAGGTGAGGGGAACGGTGCAGAGAGGTGCTGTGACTCACCAGAGGCCACATAGAAAAGCTTGGCAGAACCAGACTTCTGGTTTCTAATCCTACATTCTTTCCACTGTCATGCCCAGCCACCAGCTCAGATTCATATCCCCTAACACCCATTGAAGCCTCATTCAGTCCTGAGTAGATATTTCTCATCCTTATGGTGCCTGCCCTGTGACCCTGAGTAAGTATATGCACAGATTTTCCATTCAAATGGGGACTGACCATTCTCCCTCCTGGAGGCTCTCTCTGCAGGAAGCCGGATGTCTCCTAGCTGAGCACAGCAGGGGTTAACAACAAGAACCAATATTTAGAAATAGCACAACCCCAAGAGGAGTCAGCTGTGGCCAGCTGGTCATAGCCCCTGAAGCCGCAGCCTTTGTGGACGTGGTGTGGAAGATCAGTGTCTGCTCCTGGGAACAGAGGCTCTGAGAGGCTCCTCCTACCCCCAGCCTGTCTCCGCAGTAGGGCTTAGGCATAGCTCAGACCTTGTCCCTGGCCAAGGCAAAGTCCTGCCACTGGCCTCCAGTCCACAGCCAGCTCCTGAGGGCAGCAAACAGAATTTTTCAGCTTGAATTTTGAAATTGTTGAGAGTAGCTGCCCCACCCCTTCTGTGCCCGGCCCCTGCACTTGGAGTAGCTCCATCAACACCTTCAGCATAAGAGCAGAAGTAAGATCACCCCTAGCAGAGGCCCCTGGTCAGAGGCCCAGGCCTGGGGCCCACTGCTGTGGAGCTCCTGCCCATGAGGCTACAGGGCCACAGAATCAGGGCCTGTGTCCCTTCGCATAGTAGGGGCCTGGGTTTTGTGTCCTTCATAGCAGAAGGCCAATTCCCTGAAGGCAGGGCCTGGGCAGAGGGAGCACACCCCAGCTCAGCTACCATCCCATCCAGGGCACAAGTACCCGCCCTTTACCAGCAAACTTGCTTTGGCTACAGGCTCCTTGGGTGGGGCCCAGGCAGTCAGGGTGCAAAACATAGAGGCATTCAGAGTGCCATGCCCTGGCCAAGGCTACTGCCAGAGCAAGCACTCTTCGTCCCAAAGCATTGAGGGTAAGAGTGACCAGGAGGACTTGGCCCGCATGCTTGGCTGAACTCTGCTGGCAGGGAAGGGAGTAATGATGGGCTCTCTTTTGTCTGTTCTCCCAGAGGCAAATCTCTTGGAGAAACTGAGGCAGCACATACCACAGGTCATTGTAGCTTCAGAAAATTTGGAATCCTCCTTTCCTGGGCTGTGAGCACCATGCTTCATTCTGTGAGTGTGTTCTGAATCTCCCTCTCCCCTCTCCTAGGGGCACTGTCCTGTGCTTTGCTGGGAAGGAGTCAGTCAAGGGAGGAGGGGAGGCCCTGACCTATCTAGGTATCATGGGAATATAGACATCGCTACTCCAGGGAGCCTGTGGAAAGGGAGGTCAGTGGTGGGAAAGAGAGCTGGAAGGGCTTCCTGGAGGAAGCTGAGATCTGGTCAGGGAGGCAGGGGCAGTCAGGGATGGACACCAGGGGCGCCTGGCCAACCAAGCCAGAAAAAGTTATGGCAAAGGTCAGTATACAGAGGGAAAAGGCCTGAGGCTGCCAGGGAGGCCCTGGTCAGCTCTACTCAGGACCAGAGCTTCAGGGATTCAGGGTCTCACGGGGCATGCTAAGGAGGCTGGGGAGGGAACAACTGAGGAGCAGGCAGCAAGCACTGCCCAGTCCAATGATTTTGCTCTGACACAGTAGGAGGTGGTCAAGGACCAGTTCAAAAGCAATTCAGGGCCCCAACTTTCTTCCAGTCTGCCTGGCATGACACCGTTAGGCACTGCTTCAGGGCTTAAATGCTGGACTGCAGGCTGAGCCAAGGCTAGGCCTATGTGTGCCAGAGCTCCAGCCTCACTTTCCCACTAGAGCCTCAGTTTTCTCATCAGTGAAAAGCAAACACTGTCTCCCAACACACAACTTCCTAAGGTTGTCAAAAAACTAGGTGAATGTTTTGTAAATTGGGAGGCCCTGCAGCAGAGTTGAGTTGCCATTATTTTTCTGGGCCTGTTTCTCTCCCTAGCTGGCAGCAGAGCAGGGGAGGCTTTGAGCTAATCCTGACTCCATTCTGAACTGCTGCTGGAGGCTCCACGGTGGACTCGTGGTAGGTATATCTGTATGTGTAAGGGTCGGGCAGAAGGCAGAAGGCAGAGGGGAGAAAGAATGGCAAGATGGTGTGCGTGGAAAACTCCTCCCAAGTTTTTGATTCATAAATAAGCAAAGACCTTCTCCAACCTTCTTTTTTCTTTCTAAAATTAAAGCTCTATTCCTCCAAATGTTGTCTTCCCAGCAATCCCCACCCTTTGCCCCAGGCCCACACTTGGCCAGTAATTAACCCCTAACAAGGACCAGGTGCCTTACTGACTTGGGGAGAAAAATAAAAAAGGGATGAGTTGCAGAATCAATGGCTTTATTACCACTGAGACCAACTGAGCACAGCCCCACCCTAGGCCCTTTAGAGTGAACAAGATGAGACTTCATAGGTTTACCAATATTCCCATAGAACAGCCACAACTGGCTTCTTAGTCAACCCCAGAATGCATTTATTGAGCACCTACTCTATGCAGCTGCCTCTGAAGGGGGAAGTTCAGCCTTCAAAGCATTTTCCTTTAAGGGAGGTAAAGAGTGTAAAACTGTATGAGAATAGAAACACAGGAGGATGTGCAGCAGGAGTACAGAAAGAAGAAAAAAGGATGAGCATTTGTTGAGCACTTGCTTTATACCGGGCAAACTAAAATCTGTCCACATGGTGGGAATGTTACTGGTTAAGGGGAGAAGTTAGGGAGAGTACTGGATGGGATGGAGCTGAGGGTGGGCTGAGGCAGGCAGGGGTGACAGAGAGATTCTGATGGAAGAAGGGAGAGCACTCCAGGGGTGCTCTTTCCCCCATTCATTGGACATAAAAACTGAGGCCAGGCAATGCTGTTGCTGGGGCCAGCAGAGAGCAGGCAGAGCCTCTAGGCCATGGAGGCTCTGCAATAATACAGCTTTTTCTCCTCCTGTTTGGGACAAGGATGATGTTGTTGCCTGGGGAGGAGCCAAGAAGAGCAGGGCCCCAGCCTGAAGCTGTTAGGTAGGAGCTAAATCCAGGGCCAGATTTCCAGGAGGCAGCCCCAGAAATTTGAAACACCAAATTCAGGAGTCAGGAGGCCTGGAGTCCTGGTACTAAATAGTCAAGGGCCCATCACCGCCTGCGGGCCTTGAAATAACCACTTTCAGCTCTGAGCCAATTTCCTACTCCATGAAATAGGGGAAGGGGTGGTTCTATCCACCTTGCAGGGTTATTCTGAGGCAAATGATACCATGAAATTGAGAATCTCTCCTGCCTTGTGGGTAAGTGTAGAACACCACTCCTTTATAGACCGGGAAACTGAGGCCCTGCATGGCAGAGAAGGTCAAGGTTGCAACACCAGTGAGCACAGAGGCAGTGTAAAACGTCACTCTCATGCCTCTCTGCACAAATGGAGTCCTGAGGAGATGTCAGAGACAAAGAGTCTGTGGGGTGGGTCCTTTCTCCTAGGCCTGGTGTGAGGACTGGTGTTTCACATCCTCCACCGCCACCAACCCTTGCAAAGCAAAAGAAGAGAGAAGTGAGTGGGCTGGCCCAACTCATGTGGGTCTGGTATCCTCTGGGACTTTGTTCCAAACCTTCAGAGTGGCGCCTGGGTCTGACGGAGCTGTAAAGGTGCCCTGACCCCTGCATGGGGAAGAGCAGCCCAGCACGGGCCCTTTAAGAAGGTTGGGGGGGGGGGCAGGCGGGGAGCCCCGGCCTGATGAAACCGGAGCGCTGGTCTGGTCTGCCTGCTCCGCCCCCAGAGTTAAGTAGGCGGCAGGCACCAGGAGCCCCAGCCCGAACCAGAAAAGCCCCGTTCTCTCAACTGGAGACTTTGTCGCTCAGGTTCTGGATCTCTGGGCTCCTCTCAAGTCCTGTCACCAGCCTGCTGCGATGCTCCCAGGCCCTCAGCACCCAACCCCAGCCCCTGCCCTGGCCCTGGCTTTGACCTTGGCTGTGTTAGCAGAACCAACATCCGCAGGTAAGTGGGGGCCTGAGACCCAAACCGAGACTGGCAGGAGCTGTGGAGGATTCCTTAGTTAAAGAAAAGGGAGAGGAGAGCCCAGAAGTGGCCACCAGACCAGAACACAAGGAGGCTGTGCTCCTGCCACCTCAGGCTGGGGTCTCTGGGAGTTCCAAGGATAGACGCTCTCTACTCAGTGTTATATAGGCTCTGGTTTTCTGAGCTTGGCCCCAGAATGGGATTGCCTAGGGCATAGCTCTGTACAGGATTGTTCTCCACACCTAGTGGAGCCACCTCAATGCCACCTGGGCTCTTTGAGTCCAGCAAGCTTTCTGTGACCATGTGGTGCCCAAAGGACACCCAGTGAGAAGTACCCCAGGCTCAGCTGCCCAGGCCAGGAATGGGAGTACTGCAAAGCGAGAAATGAGGAGACAGCCACCCTGCCCCACCCTATGCTGGGTGGGGTGGGGCACAGACACCTCAGCCCCTACCTCCTCCAGCTGCCTCCCAGCTCTTGTCCTGCTCCGACTCTGCTTGTAACCAGGGGGATTTTCTCTCTTGCTTCTTCATCACCACCTTCCTCCTGCCCTCCTCTTCCCCCTCCAGTTTTTTTTTCTCTCTCTCCTCACTGAGAAGGCCTGGTGGGTGACAGATAGGACCACCCAAGCTCGAGCCTCCTAGACGCAGCCCCTTTCACACCCTGCTCTCCAGCAGGGGCTTGTCCCCCAGACAGCCCTGGGCAACCTCCCTGTCCCAGGCGCTGGTGGCTGGCCCCAGCAGAGTCTGAATGATAGTTTGCCTTCTGAAGGGTGCTAGAATATGTCTCCTCTCGGTCACCATGCCAGAAATCCCACCATTGCAGCATTCTTCCTTTAGTTAAGGCATGGTCTAGTTATGCCATAAGAACTGTGGCCTCATGTATGGATTAGTGCTTCAGCCTACAGATTTCAGGACCATTCCCAAGAGCAGCTCTGAGCAGATGAAGGGCCTGAGTCTCCCTTCCAGGACTCCAGGCCATGAGAAGGGAAATGAATCAGGGGAAGACCCCCCCACACACACTAGGATGAGTCAGAGCCGGATCCCCAAGCTTTCTGCTCCCATTCCCAGGGATCCCATCCTCCGAGATCTCAGGGCCTGGGTGATGGGCTGGGCCTCTAAAGAGGTGGGAAGGGGGCACCTGAGGTGACTGGCAAGGTACACTCAGGTAGCTCCCCAGCCTCCAGACAAGGGAAAGATTCCAGTGTAACTGCTTCCTTGGGCTTCAACCAAAAGCCCCTCTCAAAATGTCCTCAGCATTGACATTGTGCAGGCACCATTCTGGGCAATGAGGAGCACACAGAATGCACAGGCTGAACTTGGAGTCATTCAGGAGGCAGAAAAGTAAATTAAAACTCAAAACGTAATTTCTACCATTTCTATCAAGACCCAGAAAAAAAAAGAGTACGGAGAAGAGAAATCAGAGACAAGGTGAGGGGGGACAGAGGGTGAATCCCTTGGCTAAGACTTGGAGGACATGAAAAGTTGGCACTCCAGGGAGGGTCTCGGGGAGCAGAGGCCCCAAGCATGAGTAGAGAGATGTTGAGCTAGGAAGGCCTGTCTGCAAGACACGTTTTGAGCACAAGCCAGGAAAAGCAATTGCACTGGGCACAAACCTTAAATGGCAAAATGCAGCCCACTGCTTATGTTCTCTTGAGGAGCCACCAAAGGTTTTAGAGAGGAGAGCAGCATGTGCCAGTGCGTCCTTATAATGTTGAACCAACTCCTGCCTTTAGGAAAGATTTGAAAATGGATAGGGGGTGGCTGAGCTGGTATCCTCTCCCCCTCCCAGGCAGAGCTCTCCTCCAAAAACCCATCTCCATCACCATGCCTGGCTTAGCTCCCTGTCCTGGTCTCTGCAATAAGGGAAGGCCCTGCCTGTGGAGGATGTCCCTCCCACCATCCCTGGATACCCCTGACCCCAAAGGCCCTCAAAGTCTAGGTACCAGAGTGATGCATATTAGGCATTCAAGTCATGACAGTCGAGCACCCTTGGACACAATCTAGGCCAACCTTCCAATTGTACAGACAGGGAGACTGAGGCCCCAGGGAAGAAGCAAAGTGTTCTAAGTCCCACAGAGAAGCCCACCTGATGGGGAAGAATCCCCAGTCTTGCTTTGAGGGATTCCTGCCTATGTGGGGGCTAGGCTCGGGCCACTATGACTGTAGGTGACAAGTGTGGTGTCCATCTCCTTCAGAGCACTGTGGGAGGCCCGCAGCAGAGTGACAAGCACTGGGGAGACTGGGTCTGAGCCAATGTGGAGAAGCAAATCCGGAGGCCAGAGTAAGCATAGGGCATGGTGGGCCAGTGGCTCCTGCATCTCTTCCTTGGCCCAGCATAGCTGACTTTGAAAGGTAGAAGGTGAGGGGCTAAAGTGACACCTGGGTGGGGACTCTGAACTAACAGGGGTGTCTTAGAGAACATGGGGGGATCACGTGCAAGGAACTGAACCAGAGTAGACTCTGCTGGATGGTCTGGGGTAGAGGGAGAACCAATGGTGTTGGAGACAGCCTCTGAGCCATGCACATGCTGCCCTGAGCCTCTGGGGCAGGGCAGGGCCCAGGACTCTTGGCCCAGCCCACTGACACTCTGGAAAAGCTGTTCCAGAACCAAGTCTAACTGAGCCCCCAATGATTGCCCGCCTGCATGGGCAGGACAAGAAGGGCCTTTCAGTGCAGCCACCTAGGAGGCCCAGAAGGAGGCTGGGCCCGGTGGGCGAGGCCACTGGCCAAGGCTAGGAGGGGTAGGTTGTATGGGGAGTTCTCAGAGGAAGTGTATAGGCTTCATCTGGGAACTGGGCGTGTTGCCCGGGGGTGAGGGCCAGCAGTGGAGGGGGAGTTGGAAATAACTCTGACATACACACTCTCTGGTGCACACAGATGTGGGCTCACATATGAGTACAGACAACTCAGCACACAGCCAGCTGCATTCACAGACCTGGGTGGGTGGCTGCTGCCTCCTACCTTAGTGGTGCCTGGGGAAAGCAGGTGAGGACAAGATGGGGGAGGGGTGCTAGGCTGAGCTGTGGTTCCTATTGGTGCCAGGAGTAAATGAACAACTGGGCCTTTAGGACTAGAACTTGAGTCTATTCCCTCCATGGTCCTCTGCTCCTTTGACTCTTGGCCCTATCATGCTCCCCTTTGCGTCCAGCATGCCCCCTGCCCCGGCATCTGTCCAGCTCTATAGAACCAGAATTCTAGAGTTAGGACTCTTTCTTCGGTGGCAGGTGTGGGCTGTATTTCAGGAGTACTGTATTACCATTATTACTACATGTGTAGGAGTAATTTCTTAATGAACTGAATTGGTATGAACAATTTTGTACTTGGATATTCTCTGGGGTCGGAGGTCCTAGTTCTTCCCGCTTCTCAGGAGAGTTCATAACTGCAACAAGGGGAGAGGATGCAGCTATGTTATAACAGGGCCCCTACCTCCAGAGATGGCCTGGAGGAGCACCAGTCACACTGCCGCAGCCTCACAGCCCTCACGCCAAGAAAATACTCTTTCACAGCTGAGGAAATGAGGCTCAAGGACCAGGACAGGCAGGCCTCAGGTCACTGAGCACATAGGCCATGGTACCAACAACAGCTGGCTTTCCTAGATAAGGCCAGGTGGACAGCCACCCACCAGTGGGCTCAGGCCCCCAGGGAGGAGAGAGAGATGGGTCTTCAGGGGAGAGGCAACTCCCTGAGGCCCCTAGATCTCCATTCCCATCTCTCCTTTTCCCTTCAACACCTCCCCACCTCTCCAAATTGTCTCCACTTTCTGAGAGAATAAGTAAATACTCTTCAAGAAAACCCACTCCTCCTCCAGCAGCTGAAATGGCAGAGAAAGCCACATTTGTCTCAGACAGAGGGTAGTGTCTCTGGGGCTGCCTCAGCAAGGTGGCTTGGTGGTATATTCTAGACAGTGCCTATCCTGTCAACCATGTCTTCCTCCCACTCAGCTCCTGGCCAAGCCCTGCTGGCTCCCAGCCTGTGAAGGAGCTGGCTCTGCCAGGCCTCTCGCCAGTGCTCTTGATAAATTGTCTCAGTGTGTGTGTCTCCCATGGCTTAACTGCCATGGTGGGTCAGCAAGACTGCCTCCCCTCCCAGACCTTACTGCAGAGACTCCCCACCTCAGGCCTGTGCCCCATGGTTCACAGGGAAAACAGGGCCCAGAGAGAGTCACCTACTTTCCCAGAGTCACACAGAAAATCCTTAGCAGTAAGGTAACGGTTGGGCCTCTCTGCTCTTTGTCCTTGTACCTTGGTTTGGGTGTGGCCTTGCCACAGGACCAGCAGCTGCCCAAGGACAGATCTCCCACCTGCTTTTCCCAGGGGTCTCCACTGTCTTGCTGCACACAGGACTGGGCCCACAAAGTGGCATAGAGATCACTGATCTAACCAGGGCTTTGCAGACTCTGCCCAAGGTACTCCAAGGCTTTACATCCCATATCTGGGAAAATGGAACGCATGCTCCACACTAATTCATGCATAGCATCTCTGAGAGCATATGGTTATAAACTGGGTTTTTGTTTTTGATAAAGTGACAGAAAGAAAGGAAGGAAAGAGGAAAAGAAGGAAGGAGGGAGAGAGAAGGAAGAGGGGGAAGGAAGAAAGACTGGAAAACCAATAAATTGCTTCAAGTTAAAACATACTGACAGCAGGGGAGATTCAGGTCAAATACAAAAAAGAACTTCCTGGCTTTCAGAGAGTCCAAAACGTGATTGCTACCAAGGACCCCCTGGAAGTTGTCCTTCCTCAAGCGGAACACAGTCTGGGGACCCAAATGTAGGGAGTAAAACACAGTCCCAGTTACCTCCCAGACAAGCATGGCCTATCCTGCCCCCCAAATCCCATTCCTACCCCTCCTACCGCCAAACAGGACATTCCTAAGCATCCAGATAGGCAAGAGCCTCATGGTGCCACCTGTCTGCAAAGCTGCCATGGATGGGCTGGGCCCCCCTCCCCCCTCCATATATCAGCCTCCACATTCAAGGTGAT